CCCCGGGCCCAGCCCGGTGAGGGGGGCGCGACGGGGCCGTGCCCGAGCTGCGAGGCCGGTAAAGGCCTCGCCCCGGGGTCGCCGGTGGGGTTGGATCTGTGACCCTCCCCCTCAGCGGTCACCCCCTCAGCGTGGGGGTGAGGGGAACCCAAACGTGGCTGCTGGTCGTTGGAATGTGGGAAATGAAATAGGGAATGGAACCGGCGCTCGTGTGGGGGGAAATAATGAGGGGGTTTTTGTGAAAAAGGGTTGCAAAAAGCTTTGCAGAGTCTCCCGAGGTGGGAGGTGAACGTCAGAAAGTGACAGGACATGCTGGGAAGTCAAGGGCAGGGTGGGGATGTTTAAGGGGTGTCAGGGATAAAAACCGGAAATATTGCCAGGAAAAAATTGCCAGAAAGACCCGGGTTTTGTTCTGTGTTTTGGAAATCCTGCACACGTGTGGGTTTGGGAACGTGGGGCAGTATTCAGACTCGAGGACTAAAAAAGAGTCAGAGACACTTGATGTGATCTTTATCTTTGAGATAAGAACAAAGACCACAGTGTGGTGTACACAAAAAAAACCCCAAGGGTCTCAGCAAGGTTGATTCTTTGCAGTTTTCTGTTGAGATCAGTGATTTAGGGTTGTCTGTTCTGTCCTTTCTTCCCAGAGAGCTCTGTACCCACTGTTCCCTTCGAGCTGGCTCCAGATCAGAGTAAATATGTTTGCAGATTTGGACTATGATGTGGAGGAAGATAAGATGTGAGTGTTTCATTTGTCTTTTTCCTGTTTTGGCTGACAGTAGGAATAGTCTTTGCAGATGAGACCTGATGGGAGTGGATCAATTTACCTGCTGGTGATGCTGTGTCCTGAGAGATTTTGGAAATCCATGACCTTAGCCAGAGAGAAAAATATTTATACTGGAGGAAAGAAAATAAGGGGTGAGAAGAAGGGGAGAGAACCTCTGGACTCCTTAGGTCTGGAAGGAGAACACTGGTCTTTCCTGAGCAAATAAAAGGTTTGAGGAGGTTAGCAGTTAATTTAACATAGGAATGTAGAAGCAGAGAATGGTTTGGGCTGGAAGGGACCTTAAGGATCATCTGTCTCCAACCATCCTGCCACGGGCAGGGAAGTTTCCCACTAGAGCAGGTTGCTCAGAGCCGCATCCAAGCTGCTCTTGAGCACCTCCAGTGATGGAGTGTTCACAGCTTCCCTGTGCCAGTGTCTCACCACCCTCACAGTAAAGAAATTCTTCCTAATTTCTAATCTAAATCTACCCTCTTCCAGTTTGAAGCCAGTACCCCTCACCCTATCACTATGAGCCCTCATAAAATGTCCCTCCCCAGCTTTCTTTTAAGACCCCTGCAGGTATGGGAGGGCTGCACAAAGGTCTCCCTGGAGCTTTCTCCAGGCTGAACAGCACCAGCTCTCATCTTGTCTTCATGGGAGAAGTGTTCCATCCCTCTGATCACCTCCTGGACCTGCTCCAACAGGTCCATGTCCTATTTGCTTTGGACACAAGCATCTCATTTATGCTGTGCAATATTTTGTCTTGCTGCAGCACTAAGAGCAGATGAAACACTCTGTCAAACATGATGTTTCCTCAGTGCCTATCAATGGGTGAGGGTATCTCTCCCACCTCAAGTCCTTGAATGCAGCCTCAGTAAAGGTAGCCCAGAAGGTCTTTCTGCTGGCCCATGCTCTGTGGTGGTCCTGAGGGGCTGAATTCAGACATGCAGTACCTGCTGTGTTTGCAGTTTGGTGTCCATTCAGGTACCACATGGCTGCACACAAGTGCACCTCTGCTGGCTGTGTTCAGTTATTCATTCTCCTCTTCTCTTTCTTAGGGGGATCCCCACTGTACCTGGCACAGTGACCCTGAAAAAGGACTCTCAGAACCTGATTGGGATCAGCATTGGGGGAGGAGCACAGTACTGCCCCTGCCTCTACATTGTCCAGGTGGGCACTCATGAGAGAAAAATTTCTATTTCTCAAAGTGATAGACATCATCTCACTTCCCAGTGTGTGAGATTCCCTTGCTCTGGTACTTAGCAGGCATGGAAGAATTAAATTAATTCATTAAATTAAGACTTTTGTAATTATCCTTCTCTTTGGACAGCGTGTTCAAATTCACAGGGGAACTGTGAGACATTCTCAATACCAAGAAATCCTGTGCCTGAGGAGGTGAGTCCTGGAGGCAAGAACTTCTTGAGAGAACTAGAAACAAGATGACCAGCCCACTTCTTAGTTAGTAAAGGGGCAAAACTGCTTCACCAGGAGCAAAATATAACTGAGTTGAATAGGAGGAATGGAAATTGTCCTTTTTTTCTTTGTTCTTCAGCCCTGCACTCACCTTTTGTGTTGTGGATTCCAGACTACCTGTGCTCTTTCTCCTCCCCACCAGGTGTTTGATAACACTCCAGCAGCCTTAGATGGCACCGTGGCAGCTGGGGATGAAATCACAGGAGTGAATGGGAAGTCTGTCAAAGGGAAGACCAAAGTGGAGGTGGCCAAGATGATACAGATGGTAAAGGTGAGAGGTAGGAGGGTGTCACTGGAGCTTTTGGGTCATAGCTTATGGTCTGTTGATGAAGGGAGCCACTGCTGCTTGCTCCCAGGACAGCAGATTTGGATTTGCTCTTTCTACAGGGAGAAGTGACCATACACTACAACAAGCTTCAGGCTGACCCAAAGCAGGGCAAGTCTCTGGATATTGGTAAGACTGGTTTCTTTCTCCCTAGAGTGTTACAGTGGCATGGAGGGGTTGCCTTTCAGGTTGATCCCAGCTAAAACCAGAGCAACATTACGGTTCCATTCTTCCTCTTAACTCAGTCATTTTCAGATGGACACTGTCAAAAAGAAGAACAGGTTAAAAACAAAATCCCTCTCTGACTTCTCGAAATAGTTTTTCAAGTTAAATTGAGGCTTGAGTATTGTTGTAGGAGGCTTGGTTTTCTCTGTTGAGCATGGATGATGAAACTCAACCAGATAATTTATTTTTAATACCTTCAAGTCATGCTGACTTATTGAGATTTTCAGCTGGACACAGAAATGTGTTTCTCAATAAACACTGGTTGCAGTTTCTCAGGTTGGAGAACAGTGCTGAAATACCTGTCTACATTGAGTCTTGTACAACCATAAATTTTATAGGAGAGAGGAGAGGCTTTATTTCTGTTTTTATTCCTGGCCTGTATCAAAAATAGCGTGTCCAGCAGGAGTAAGGAAGTGATTGTGCCCCTTGTCTTCTGACTTCAGCTGAAGTAGGACAGCAAGGAGCATAAGCAAAGGTTAGTTCCAAATGTCATGATAGGTAGCTTATAACAAAATGATTCCCAGTCTTCCAAAAGAAGTGCTGGAGCTCTGCTGATGGAAGTAGAGAGGATGTGAGAGCACAACAGGCAGGCAGGATAGAATCACAGAATCGTTTAGGTTGAAGCAAGACCTTTGAGATCATCAAATCCAACCGTTCACTTAACCCTACCAAGTCCACTGCTCAACCATATCCCTAAGCACCATATCTATGTGACTTTTAAACTCATCCAAGGGATGGTGACTCCACCACTTCCCTGGGCAGCCTGTTCCAGGGCTTGACAACCTTTTTGGTGAAGAAATTTTTCCTAATATCCAACCTAAACCTCCCCTGGCACAACTTGAGGTACTTTTCTCTTGTCCTATCACTTGCTACTTGTGAGAAAGAGGCACCCACCTCTCTACAACCTCGTTTCAGGTAGTTCTAAAGAGTGATAAGATCTCCTCTGACTCTTCTTTTCTTCAGACGAAACAGCCCAGATTCCTTCAGCTGCTTCTCATGAGACTTGTGCTGTAGAAGTTGTGCCATACATGGCTGGACCAAACATCTGGTTTCTAAATCATTCTTTTTCTGGCTGCTACCTCACTAGAAAGTTAAATTCACTTTATTCCATGCCTGAGAAACCAGGGAAGTCTGCTAGTGAGCTTTTTATGCCCCCAGAACTGCTCCTGATCCTGGTTTGCCATTCTCTTTTGGCCTCTAGTATTGAAGAAGGTCAAGCATCGACTGGTAGAAAACATGAGCTCAGGGACAGCAGATGCCCTGGGGCTGAGCAGAGCCATACTTTGCAATGGTAAGTTGTGTCCAGAAGCACATTTTTTTCTTTTCCAGAAGCACTTACCTTCTTGTGCTTGCCTATTTTTCATTGTTCTTTGCATGTTCTACAGTATTCCTTCATAATTCTCTCCTTCTTCTATGCCTCACTGCCCTTCTGACTGAGGTATCTTGTCACTGAGGCCATTTAAATGTTAGCTAAGGTGAAATTAAAGTGAGGACCCCCTTGGTGAATGCATATAGGGGATGACCCTACACTGTAAATTAAGTTGACAGTTATTTTAAAAGCTTTCCATGTCAAATCGGAGGACAGGCATTAAGAGGAGAGGGAAATGTGAACCAAAAGGTGTCTAAGTGATGTTTTTCTAGGCAGTCATGTTTTAGCTCTGTCCTGGCTTGGACTTGTGATTCTGTGTTCTGGTTCTTGTTTCCATTTAGATGGACTGGTGAAGAGACTGGAGGAGCTGGAGAGGACTGCAGAGTTATACAAAGGTAATTTTGTCTTTCATCAGACACCAGATGCCTCTGCTGCATTTAGGGAAATGATTCAAATGCTTCTTCTGGTTTCCATTCCAGGCTTAACAGAGCACACCAGGAGTCTTCTCAGAGCTTTCTTTGAGCTATCCCAGACACACAGAGGTAAAAGAGTCTGAGTGAAGGGAGCAGAAATCTTTGGCTTCCAGTTTCAGGAGTTTTAATCAGCCCTTAGAAGTATGATTCCCTCACCCAAAGAAAACTGGGACCCTGAAGAAATACCCTGCTAACTTCTGGTGTTTAGGGACCACGTGGCATCATTCCCCACCTGAGGCCAAGGTTATGGAGAGAGGCTGTAATACTGGAGGCAAGGTTCTCCTCCAGGCCCAACTTCTTTCATCTGTTGGTGTTTTTTTACCCTCCATGCAGCATTTGGAGATGTTTTCTCTGTCATTGGAGTGAGGGAGCCCCAGCCAGCTGCCAGTGAAGCCTTTGTGAAGTTCGCCGACGCCCATCGCAGCATCGAGAAGTTTGGGATTCACCTCCTGAAAACTATCAAGCCAGTAAGGAGGAAATTCCTCCCTTCTTCTGTTGAGGATGAGAGGGCAGTTTGATCAGTGTGGTCCCTAGAGCCCTTTCCCTGATTCCCATCATTAAAAGCCATCATTAAATTTAAGAAGAGTTTTGATAAGCAGTCCAGGAACAACTTCAGGATTTCAATCAATATATTTAATGAGTCTCCAGGGGATCTCTCCACTTGGCTTAGCAAAGAGAGGATTAAATGATCATTTAGGTACCACTGTCAGTGCCATGTTGGCTGGACAACATTGGGTAGTGAGCCTCTGAGTCAGGGAGAGCAGTTTCCAGGACCAGTTGAAAAAGAAAATGGAAAAGATGAGTCAAAAGATGTTGAATTCAGAGCAGAAGTGAGGCCTCCATTTCTGACACTGGAACCACTTGCCAGTGACAGCAATAGCTGCCCAACTGTGGCAATTCTGAGTGAAGATCAAACATTTTCTTCCCACTCTAGTTGATTCTCCAGTTCAAAAAAGAGTTAACTGGAGGCAGTCTTGTGACTTGGGCTGGTTAAAAGGTTGCACTTGAAACCTGGTCATGCTTTTTGGTCTTGCACTCAACAGCAGGATGTTTCCTTTGCAGATGCTTACTGACCTGAATACATATCTGAACAAAGCCATTCCTGACACGAGGCTGACCATCAAAAAATACCTGGATGTCAAGTTTGAATATTTGGTGAGCTGCCTGCCTTTTTTTGGGGGTGGTTTTGGGGGTTATTTTAAGTGCTGCTTGGGATGAAGTGTTGTAGAATTGTAGCTTGAGAGTCACATGGAGCTTTTACAACCACATGTCCATCCTTCCACAATCCATGCATTCTTTTTTTCAATTCTTTTTCTATTGCTGGATTACTCAAATTGTGACACCTGCTTCTGACCTGACAGTTCTCACTGGTAAGAAAGACCTCCCAGAATCCAGATGACTTATTTTCTACATGGCTAAATTAATTTCCTTATTTATTTGTAAAAAAATCCTATGCAACTTAGGCTCTTGAACTCCCCTAAATAGCTTTCCAGTCTCTATTTTTCAGGTAGTTTTGGACAGTGTCTTTTTTTTTTTTAGCCAAATTAAACAACTGCCAAATTGTATTTGCTTTAAATTAGACCATGCCTTTTATTTGTGGTTTGTTTGGGTTTTTTAACTCCTCCATTCCACTCAGCCCTTCTTTTCTACACCCAAAAAGGGCAGAGCTGTTAAGTGTATCTGTTTTATACCTGTAAGAACCTATTTCCTTTTACCAGTTGAGAGAATTATGGGGAACTGCAGCCCTAAGGCAAGTGAAAAGTAGATTTTATTTCCACCTGGGATATTTAACACACTCTGACTGTGCTTTCTTAGCATCCATAGCTGCAGCATGGAAGGAAGGATTGAAACAATACATCCATGTGACTGTGGGTGATGGTGAAATTGCTTCTAATTCTTAATATTTCCTTCTTGTTTTCTTTCTTTAATTTTAAATCCAAGTCTTACTGCCTGAAAGTCAAAGAGATGGACGACGAGGAGTACAGCTGCATTGTGAGTAAGGCTGTGGCAATGACAACTTGGTTTCTGCAGCTTCCCAGTGCCAAAATACTTTGTGCCAGTGTGCACCCAAACTGCCAGGTGCCTCCTGAGAGTTCCACATGTTTGTTCTTTACAGATTAGAAATCAGAGATCCTTAAATTTTACCTAGGAAACGCTGCCAAGGATTGTCATGAATCACTGGCTCTGTGGAGTAGAGGAGAGACCAGACAGCTCCTCTGCAGCTTGTTTGCTCAGTGGTTGCCTGTCTCAGTGTTTAAGTAACATTAGCTTGTGTAAGGAGGATTAAGGTGTTACCTTCACAGATTCCATTTGTGTGTAGTGTACAGCTTATCATTAATTCTGGGCTCCTTTCTGAGAAATGGAGGCTTAGCTTTTCTAGCCATGTGAAAGCTGCCTTTGGAGTTGAGAAAAATTGATTAAAGGATCTCTCTGAGGACTTTCTTTTTTAAAATAAGTAATTAAAAATCAAAAGACTTCATAAAGAAAAGAAGTGGCAACTTTCACCAGTAACCTGGTTTAGGATTTTAGAACTAATTCTTACCTGCTGTGTTTTTACATACGTTAAGTTTACAGGTGCAAGAGGAGAAGGCTGGTTTGCTGACAAACCTAACCCTATTCTCTCAAAACTCTTCTGTGGGACAACGTATAGATCCATCCCTGCTGGTTTCCAGCATTCTGGATGGTTGTAGATAGAATCACAGAATGTCTGGGCTGGAAGGGACCTCAAAGGTCATCTAGTCCAACAACCCCCACCATAAGCAAGGACCTCTCTAACTACATCAAGCTACCCCAGGGTTCCCTGTGCAGATGTATAATATGTCAATTAAGAGACAATATAAGACAATATATTAAATATAATATATTATATTATATTTACCAATATAAGGCAAAACTTACAGAGGAGGGCAGAATTTTCTATGGGATTGGTACAAATTGATACATCCCTCAGACCCAAGACTTGTTTGCTCATGGTGCCCATCTCAACAGTTTGGATTAGAAGCCATCCCACTCCTCTGAGCTGGGTTAGAAGGTGCATTTCTCTTTGCTTTGCCACAGTTAGTGTGTGTTTGGCCCTCAGGATGTCCCCTTTGGCTGCCAGCTGTTCCTCACCTTCCCTGCTCCCCGGCGGCAGTCCCAACGAGCCCGAGCGGGCTGTAAAATCACCCAAGCTCATTGTGAGTCCTCAGAAACCAAACCTGGTGGACAGGCACTGTCATGGGAGTGCCTCAAGTGGCACCCTTGTTTTTGGCAGGCTCTGGGTGAACCCCTCTACAGGGTCAGCACTGGGAACTACGAGTACCGGCTCGTGCTGCGCTGCCGGCAGGAGGCTCGCACGCGCTTCGCCAAGATGAGGAAAGATGTGCTAGAGAAAATAGAGCTCCTGGACCAGAAACACGGTGAGTGGCCTTCCTCCTCCTCACTCAGCTCAGCTCAGAAGGCTGCAGCTGAAGGACTTTGCTGTGGCTGTGCCTGAGACCTCCCCCCTCAAGTCTACTTCAAGTCCCCCCTCAAGCTCCTCGTGAGTCTGTACGTCCTGCGAGCGATGGAAGCTCCATCACAACCTTCACAGGCTCTTTGGGAAAGGAGTTTTCACCCGATTCTTTCCCAACTTGTCTCCACTACAGTGCAGGACATCGTGTTCCAGCTCCAGCGTTTTGTCTCCACCATGTCCAAATACTATGATGACTGCTACGCCGTGCTCCGAGGTGCCGATGTCTTCCCCATCGAGGTGGACCTCGCCCGCACCACGCTCAGCTATGGGCAGAAGGACATGTACACAGAGGGGGCAGAAGAAGAAGAAGAAGAAGGAGGAGGAGGGAGTGAGAGAGAGGGTAGTGGGAAGGAGAATGCAGATAGTGTGAAGCTCATTGATGATGCCTGAGGAGAGACTTTGCAGACTGTTATAAAAACTTGTATTTTACTTGGCAGTTCATCCTCTGTGACTTCTGTGTACGTCCAGCCTGGGATCCCTCCTTTGCTTTGGGTGAGGGTGGCTGGTTGGATTGGGACCAGCCTCTGCTTTCCTCTCTCTTCTGTTGCTTGTTTGCCTGGATATTCTGCTGCCTAAGTTGGGTACTGAGGTGTGGGGAGGAAGAGTCCCCACCCCACCCCACCACCGTGTGCAGACAGTACAGTGCTGAGCATGTAGGGTGCACCACTCCCTTCTGGCCAGTTAAACATCTAGAGATGGTTTTGGATGGTGGGGACAGACCCTTCTGTCCTCTTCTTGTGCTATGGGGAAGTGTCAGCACCAGTATTGTTCTCTGCATCCCACTGTGCATTGTCTTCAAGCTTCCTGTTCTCTGGCCTGTTTTAAGTTTCCTCTGTCTCTTCTGTCTGTCCCCATGGGCTGCAGGACTGACTTGTGTAGGATGGTCACTCCCACCCCTCCCAGCCTTCCTCACAGTGCCCGAGCTCCCACACTCCATAGCTGCACCCCGGGGCTAGAGCCCTGCAGGATGTGGCTCTGCCCTTCCCATTGGGAAGGAGGGACCTGGGTCAGGGAGGAGCCCTCCTGCTCAGCAGAGGTGCTGAGGTGAGAGTGCTTGTCTGAAGCAGGGAGGTTTTTGGGAATAACAGCAAAGCTGCATGTGTTTCCTCTCCATCATTCTCCTCTCTTTGGGCTCCTTGTGGTGGACAGTAGCAAAACGTGCATCTTGAGGATGTGCACCTAGCCGTGCACCTTTTTTTCCTTGTGCAGAAGCCACTTCAGAACCACAAAGGAGATGCCCCATCCTCAAATTAAAGAGACAGGAAGGTTTGTGGAGAGAGGAAGACGTGGTCTATAGGTTGGGCTCTGAGGTTTTTATTTTTAGTGGAGAGTGTGGCTAGTGTGCCACCCCCACCATCCCTCCTCTCTGCACAACCATTCTGTGCTGCCTCTGGGCCAGCCAGAAGCTGTAGCTAACGTCACATCTCCCAGCACCAGGGAAGGGGGAGAAGGAAAACCAAGGTAAGTGCAGCTGCTTCATTCCTCCTTCCTTTTCTCTTCTCTCCACCCCTTCTGGCTGTTCCCAGATGCAGATGGCACTTTCACTCTTAGTGGGCAGCAGAGCTGCCAGGAGTGGTGTCCTCAGAGGCAAGGGGTTTGATTTGTCTGTCGTTACATTCTAGTGGTAACAGAAGAAGTTATTTATGGGCCTTAATTTATGACTGAGATGTTTGTTTGGGGTTTTTTTTCCCCTCTTTGATTTGTTTTTGGAACTTTGTCATCTCTATGGGTGCCTGGAAGAAATCCATCTGTGGTCAAGCTGCTTTGAAAGATTTAAACAGACTCTGATGTACTGACTATTGTCTCTAATAAAGAAAAATGTGACATCTCCTTTCCTGCCCTTCATGAATTTTCTTTAGAGATTTACTTGCTCATCCTCTGTTGGTTTTTATTCTTAAAATACAACGATGGGCAGATGGGTGTCATCTGCAGACCACTTTTTTTCTCTTTCTCATATTGGTGGCTAATCTCTGCCAAGCTGTTGTGGTCACTACAGCCCAGGTTTCCACAAAAGGTGGCTTGTAGCTGCTGCAGCAAGGCCAATCCTCTGTGTAACACCAGCTTCTCTGCACCTTGGCGCCCCAGGGGAACACCAGCTGTTGCCTCCAAGTCCTGCCCAGTGGCATCCTTGCACCCCTCCAGGGCCAGCTTCTCCACACAGCTCAGCTCTTGCATCACAAGCTTCAGCTGATGCTTAAGTCCCTGATCCTCTTTCAGAGCTGGTGGCTGTGCCAAGAGGAACAGAGGAAATGCCTCAGTGGAGCCTGCTTGGAAGCCAACTTGCAGGCAGTGCCACCACGGGGTGTTTTTTTTTGCAGTGGTGGGGCAGGAAGAGGTCTGGGTGTCCTACAGCAGTGTCTGGAGTGAGATCTTGTGCCCTAAAGGCTTTTGTGGAAAGGTTTAAAAGCAGAAGGCTTAGTAGGAAATGTTGACTGGTGAAAAGAAGACAGAGGGGACCTTGTTCTAGCGACCTCCCTGTTGCTGCCAAGGGCACTTGTTGTCATCCAGTGGACCTTGGACCTCTGGGGAGTTGTGGGCTGGTCCTTGGAAGGGGGTAAATCAATAAGGAAAAGAATTTGGAGTGCTGGGGAAGATGTGGAGCAACTTGACTGAGCAGAAAGAGCAATCTTACCTTGGGGGGGGTGGGGGGAGAACAAGCTTGTGGAGCAGAGAATGAATGCCCCCAGAGCTCCAAGGCCCTTGCTGCTGCTCCTTGTTCTCCCAGGGGATTGTTGTGGTGCTTAGTCTGATTTAGGGTGTTTCTAAGGGGGTTTGAATGGGAAAAAAACCCAAGTCACCACTGTGGCTGTCTCACAATCAGAGCTAACCAGGGTGTTGTTAGCCACAGAGGGACAGGGCACAGCCCCATGGGGTTCATCTCTCCTTCAACTGCCAGTTCTTACATCTCTTCTTGACCTGACATCCTTCAGCAGCTCTTTCATTCATCATTGACTCCTCTTTGCTTGGGACCATCTACAAGGAAACCTTCTCCTCCACATCCCTGCTCCCCTGCTGGGTTTAAAAGGCTCTACAGGTCCTGCAGCCTTCACCTGTTACCCCAAAATTTGTAGTCAGTCTGGTCTGGGGTGAAACATCTGCTCTGAGGGTCCCATGGGCTGCCAGCCCTGTGGCCCTGTGCTTAGCTTTTGATCCCTCTCTCTAGTCACAGGTTCCTGCAGGGCCTCTGAGGTGAAGCAGTTCAGGAAAACGGAAGAAAGGGCTTTGCCCAGGGGTGTTTAGAAGAGATCCAGCCCTAAAGCAGCTTAGGAGAGGTTTAAGCATGCCAGGGAAGGTTGACCTCTCCCAATCGAGAAATCCACCGCCGCGGCGGGGGCGAGGGGGTCACTGCCTGCCCCACCACGTGCCCCACACCCTCCTCAGGGGCACCCACGGGCTGGGGCTTGGCCTCCTGCTTGTACCTTTGATTCCTTTACGTAAGGGGCTTTTCTTCTCTTTAAAAGGGAAACACACACACACGCCTCTGGTGACACTCCTGGGACGTGGTTATTCACCTGCCCTGGATCCCCCTGTCTCCCAGAGGGGCCAAGATGGTCCCTTAGATGACAACAGGACTCACTGCACCCTAAAGTTGGGTGCTAGTCCTGATGGTGAAGCTCCATCTCACGGCTACTCACCCAATAGCTTTGGTCTTTCTTAGGTGTCTTCTCAGCAACGTCCTTTAACCCAGCACTTCCCTACGTGGAGAAGCAACTTCATGTGTCACCACCCTGGCTTCACCACCCACAAAAGCTGCTCCAGACGGCAGTGAGCCAGTGTCTCACAGGTTTTGGCAGTCTGAGGTAGGGATTGTAGGGAACATGGTGTCTACCTGGAGGTGGCCTGGATGGTAGCTGTGAGTGACACCATCTCCTAAACCCACAGCCTGGCCTGACCCTGGGAGCAGGGTGGAGAAAACACACCAGACCAAAGCATACCAGAGCTGATTACAAAGAGTCTCTAATTGTTTGTGGTCTGTATTGTGACAACGCAGAAGGAAAAGGAGAGTCCTTGGCAGCCTCTTCAAAAGACTTTCTCCAGGGCTGGTTTGGAAGTGAGGAAAGAAGATTTTTTTTTTTTTTTTTTTTTTTTTTTTTTTTTTTTTTTTTTTTTTTGATGTTTGGGCTGCTCTGAGCCTGTGTTGTACCAGCATGGGTGCAGGATGCAAGCAGACATGTCACCAGGTAGGTACATATGTACATAAAAGGACCAACTCTTAGACCTCTCCCTCTTACTCCATCCACCTGCTTCTGCCTCCACTTTCTCCACCCCATCTCCCACCTACCCTCCCACACTCGAGGTGGGTGCAAACAAGACCATTTTTATCCATCCCTGTCCCCCCCTACCCTGGCTTAAAACCTGTCCCTCTCCACCGTGGGGTCAACGTCTCGTGCCAACACCTCCCCATCCCTCTCGGGGCACCCGCCCCCCTCCCCACTCTGCTCCTCTGCCAGGTGGTTGGGCTCCTCACTGGGCACCCCCGTGGCGTGGTCAGTGCTGTGGGCCAGCTGGTGGTTCTCTCCACTGTGCTCCTCAGCCTCCTGCACGTCAGACTCGGCCTCCTCGGTGTCGCTGCCACCGCCCGTGGGGGGGTTCTTCCCCGGGGGGGGCTCCTTCTTCCTTCTGCTCAGGCAGCAGTAGGTGGCCGTGGCTAGGAAGAGTGCAGAGAGGGCCACCTCGGAGCCTGCCAGGTAGAAGATCACCTCATAGTTCTTCAGAGCGTCGACCAAGCGGCCTGGTGGGTGGAGAAGACATTGGAGGGTTAACCTCGGCCCACGCCCGTCCTGCCTGAGCAGCCCTGCATTTGGAAGGGCAAGAAGACTCAACATCTACAAAAAAATCACCCTGGGTGACTCTGTACCACCAAAGAAAGCACTGTGAGAGTCCAGGGTTGGTGTTCTCCCTTCTCTGGCCAAGGCTAAATAACTGTGACACACGGATGGGATGGGCTGGCATCGTGGTGGGCCATTTTCTTCTTGCCAAGGTGGGACATGCCTCTGAGGGCTTTGCTTGTCCAGTCTCAGAAAAGAAAATTTGAGAGGCATTTCTATTTCTTAAGCTATCCTGTCAGGACAGCATTCAGAGGGGGAGAAGAAACATCCCCCTGGCAGAAAAATCCCTTTGGTTGGCCCACATCTGATGGTTTCTTTGCCAAAGAGACGTTCACAACGTGTCTTCTGGATGCACCAGAGCTGGCAACGGAGGAAGGGATCCCAGTCCTGGGTGCTGAGGAGCCTGAGCACCTACCCTGCTAGTGTCAGGATGGGGCCACGATGGTTGGGGGCTCTAGCCTGGTCCTGCACCCTCCTGACTGTGCCTCTGTCCCAGTCCCTGCTCCATGGCCCTGAAACCTGCCCCGGGGCACACCAAGGTGCCTCCTGGAGCAGTCGTGGGGGGCACAGGGTGAATTCCCAGCAAGAATCCTGCGTGTGTGTCTGT